AGAATCACAAACAGATTGTGCCTTAACCCCTTTGTTTCTACTTTTGCAGACTTAGGTTCCCACGAAGATCCTCGTGTGCTCAACCGACGTACTGATGAACCTATTTTAAATGTTACCGAAAAAATTTATTCATAAATATACAGACAAATGGTAAGTATAGATATTAGTCGAACCACCTGTGGCCAAAATAGGCCGATAGGACGAAGAATTACACAGATTACTACATGTCCATTCGGTTAGGCCAAAAGACGCTCTCCCCTGAAAATGAAGGCTATCGTGCCTAATTTATTCCTAATCCATCTATAGAACAGATAGTTCCTGTACACAAGCTAATCTGCGAAAATTCTCAGACAGATAGTTATGTCCACCCAACTATCCCCAATACATACCGTTATATTAATGGGGATAGCCGCATTAAACCACCAAACCAGACTAATCTTGCTTTGCCGAGATCTTTCATCAATACTCTATTGGTCAAAGAATGCTGGGTGAACGGTCTACTACCTTAGAATCGTCGCCGTCAAAAGATAGATTAACATACTGCGGATAAAAGATCTAAATGGATGATGATTTTCTTTTGGGTCTCTGGAATTGTGAGGAATTTCAGTCAAATTCTGGCCGACCTATAATTGGGAAAATGGGAGAGCAATGGTATCCATAATACTTCGGTTCTTCTGCTTTGTAAGTTATTCGTTGTTTAGTCTTGTTAGCCGAAAACTAACACTCTCTTCTTTTTTGCAGATTTATGCACATCTCCATCCCTGTATAGCATATTCTTAACCTCGGAGATCTATCAAAGACGCTTCTTCGGGTTAAAGAAGGATGGGCCAAAGCTTCTAAATTTCGAACGACCTACCGTTTACAGCGGTCGAGGGAAAGCAAAGTGACTGACTTCCTTCTTGAAGAGCACCGAACCGACCAACTTTCCCGAGATAAGACTTGTCCCTCTAACCGCAGAAGAAGAGATGCGCGAAAAGGGAGCAGGGTCAGGGCCCTTCTTACCGAAAACAGCTAGGCCGAAATGGCGCCTCCCAGCCAAACCGCACCTTGCTGTTGTCGCCTTCCTTTCCCAACAAGCCATCCTCTTCCCGCCAACCAAACGTGCCCGAACTTCCGAACCCGAACGAGTTCTGATTGATGAAGAAACTCCTTATTCAGCGAGCTTACCACCGAGCCCCCAACGGAGTCTTCGACCGAACTATCGCTGCTGGCACGAAATAACCTTCAACGACCGAGGTCATTCTTAGACACAGAACCGGTCGTTGCTGAGAAACCACCTGTGGCCATCAACCTGGCCAGAGCGTGTGATTGCCCAAAGACATGGAACATCACCAAAAACAGTTAACCACCGAGCTAAAGTCCATCCGGTCTGCTTACTAAATCCATGATTCTGGTTAGTGACTTCGGTTGCTTTCGTTTATGTTTTCTTTTTCTTTTAAAACTCTTCTCTTCCGGTTAAAGGGAAGTGTTTTGCTGTGTCAGGGCCATTCAAAGAACCAAATCACCCACAGGAAGTACGGAGCTGAGGAAAGTGGACAAGGCAAGCGCGGCCGAGGCAGAGGCGAAATCGGCCGAATAGAGTCGGCAGAAAGGAAAATGGCCAATCCGAGGTAGGTCGGTCGTTGTTGACCGGAATCGGTTAGTCGGCCGAGGCCGAAAAGCAAAAGACTGCCATTGTGCTGAGGACAGTACTTGCGCGAGTTGCTGAACTTGAAAGAAAGAAGGAGCCGAATAAGTGAGAAGGTTAAAACAGCCTGACCGCAGGGCTTCAAAGGAGAGCAGAGGACGCTTTACGCCCAACATGTTAATGCTCGCCAAGGATCTTTTCTTAAGTGCGGCTGGAGGGAGCCATTGGAGCTCGGTCTGATCCTCAGACCGAGGTTTTCAACCCTCCAGGCCTATTTCATACCTAACTCTTGATGGAATATGCCACGGCCATGCAACAAGTTCCTTGAGGGCATCAGATATGAAGATTCTGATGAAAGACTCTGCCCCTGGGGATTATTCGGTTGTGAATGTGGATCAGATAGATCGGCCGGTCCAGAAGTGGAAGATCTGACTATAACAGCCAAATGAAAACTGTGGCTGCGGTCGATCCACTGTTTGACTGAAGGAGTTCCTGCCGCCAGAAACGGTCTTCCAGCTGACAACTGATGCTGCCATTTGATGCCGAGATTAGATGAACTTTCTCTTAAATTGTTACTCTTTTCTTGTAACCGAATAAGGCCCCCTTGTAATGATTCTCTTGAATTGAAAATTACTTCTTCTTATTGTCGTTATTGTGTGTGATGCTTGCATTTGTAATTCTTCTATTAACCCAAGTGTTATTTTGGTTTTTGTTGTTCTAAACCATACTTACCAGCCCCAACCACTTTTAGCCGATATAATACTTTGGCTGAGAGTACTAGTGTTGGTTTTAATCCAGCCAACCACTCTTCAGCCTCACACTTACTTCGGCTGAGAGTAACAAGAGTTGTTGTATCACCAAAACCACTCTTCAGCTCACATCTACTCGGCTGAATTAGAGTAACAAGAGTTGGTTTATTTCCAGCCAAACCACTCTTCAGCCTCACACTTACTTCGGCTGAAAGAGTAACAAGAGTTGGTTTATTCCAGCAACACTCTTCGCCTCACACTTCTTCGGCTAAGGAAACAGAGTTGTTTTTCCAGCCAAGCGCTCTTCAGCCTCACACTTACTTCGGTGAAAGAGTAACAGAGTTGGTTTATTCCAGCCAACCACTCTCAGCCTCACACTTACTTCGGCTGAAGAGTAAACAAGAGTTGGTTTATTCCAGCCAATCCACGTCTTTCAGCCCTCACACTTACTTCGGCTGAGGTACAAAAGTGTTGTTATTCCAGCCAACCACTCTTCAGCTTTACACCTTACTGTCAGCTGAAGGTTAACAGAGTTGGTTTATTCCAGCCAACCACTCTTCAGCCTTCACTTACTTTTGGCTGAAGAGTAACAAGTGATTGGTTATTCCAGACCACTATTAGAAGTTATTTTTTCCAGTAACTTCTAGATATTTGGTTATTCTGACCAAATGTACTGCAAGACCATGGTCCTTATCTGGGACTTAGGAGGGTGATTGGTTTAATCAGCCAACCTCTAAAAGTTAGTTTTATCCAAGCTAACTTAGAAATAACATGTTTGCAATATATTAAGTCAATTGAACTGCATAATTATTACAAAGAGTAATTTGTGCCAAAAAAGGAATCATCATATTTTATTTGAAGAAGAGAAAATTAAATAATGTTCGGGAAAGAGAAAAGTAAAAAAGTAAAATATCTTAGAGATTGGCCGTAAATTCCATGAGCCTAGGGAATTTGGGCCTTGCCCACTTTCTTGTCTTCTAAGGTTGGTATGCCCCTTGCCGGCTAACCCAACACTTAAAAGAGACCTTCACCAATTTGAGTGCTAACTTGCCGTTCTCCTGGACAAGGTGTTTCCCACTTACATATTGCGCAATACCCAATCGCCAATTTTGAATTTGTCTTGGCATGACAATTTTTTGCTTGTATTTATGATTAACTCTCGTTGGTACGCGGCATGTGGACATGCTCTTTCTCTTCTTTCTTCTGCAAGGTTAAGTTCTAAGGCTATGCTACCTCCATTAAGCTGGATCAAAAATTTTCGCTATCGAATATGTCAGGGCAAGGCCAACTTCATATGGGATCACTGCTTCCATGCCAATTAGCTAAGGAAATGGTAATGTTTCTCCAGATTGATCGCCGAGGATGTGTGCAGTAGGACCCATAAAAACATGAGAAGTCATCCGACCACTATGCCTTTATTCTGCTTTCTCTAGCCTTTTTCTTTGTCCATCCAAGACGACTTATTGATGCTGCAGAACACATGCCCACTTAGAGAGATACGCCCATGGTGTGAATTGTAGAATCTATACTATGTATTCTTCACAAAGTTCTGAAGATTCTGCCGTCGAACTGAAGTATCCATTGCTCTGAAGATCAGTGTCTTTGGTATGCCAACCGAGTGATAATATTTCTGACCACAACTTCTTCACATCCCCTTTTTTCTATTTGATTTGACGCCAATGCTTCATGTTCTACCCACTTTGTAAGTAGTCTGTTCTGCAGAAAAGAAGTTTCATGCCTCCGGTGCTGTTGGAACTCTCTGGATAAATTTCTCAAGTTTAGAGGTCATAATTAAACATTTTTACCCTTTTGTATTGAACTTAGATTAATTTGTTTAAAATCATAAGGTGGACGGAAGGTAGAGGATAATAATAGCAGAATGTGAACTGTAGGAGGACGTGCTGCAATACTCAAGGCTCTTTTGAATTTCCTTCCAATTTTTATTCATCATTTAGCTATTCCTGTTTAAATTCTATAAGGGTCAAGGCTTTTTCAAGAACCTAAAAATAACTAACTAGATAACTCTTTATAAGAATCCATCTGCTTCTGACTCACTCCCACATTAAATAAAAATTCAAAGTTGTTTATTTTTGGTTGGCATCCATTTATGTGATCTTTATTTGACAATTCGGGCTTTTAGATTGTGTCACAATGTCCTATAAATGAACTGTGCTTTTTTTTTTTGTGTGTGTGCGCACGCGCGCACGTGCACACGCCTGGGATTGGCCTGATTTGTCCTATGTTTATTAGTTTCAGAGAATGCAAAAAAGTTCGTAATTTTCATTAACCCATATTGGCACTGCCAACTGCAGAAACCTTTGAAACTACTTTTACTGCATTATTTTGAAAGCAATTATAAGAGATACAAGGACCTCCAAAGCCCTTCTCTAGAATGGTACTTTGGTAAATGCAGTCATCAATTTTGCTTTAGAGGATGTTGTGTCTAGGTGTTTGAATCTAGTGGAGTCCTCTTTATTCTCTTCCACCAGAGGAGGTAATTTGTTGTTTTTCTTGCTGAGGCATTTATGTGGATAGTCTCTTGAAAAAGAGACAAAAAGGAATGGATATGATATGTGGGATGCCAATGTTATTCTGTTAAAGTATAGAAACAAACCGTGGCCCAAACCTGATTTTTATGCCAGGTGGTATTTCTCGATCTGTTTGATGTGAATTTTAATTGACTTTTGTTTACTTCATCCTTTTGATGTGAATTTTAATTATAGGTATTTCTCGATCCGTTTGATGTGAATTTTAATCTAACTCAGGTTTGTTAAGGGAACCAGACCATATATGTTCCCTGTTCTGTGTTGGCTAGAACATCTTGGGGGAGAGGTGAAGATTAAACTTCACTCATTTCCTCACCTGCAGAATTTTCTTCTTCAAGCTATGTCTCTTAACTATTATCTCCATTTTTTTGTTTGCCCCAGGTATGCATTAGATGATATTGGTTCTGGATCTCATGTGCATCTCAGTTTGTGTCAGAGTTGAACCCATATGAATAGGTAGTTTGGTACTAACAGAGAAGTATGCATTTTTACCAGTTCTGTTAAAATATCTTGTCTACATAGAATTATTTTTTAAGCATGCAGTTATATTTGGAAATTTGATGGGTGTACTATTGATCTTGAGGAAAACCTTTCACGGTGATGTTTCCATCGATGGGTGTACCAATTTGTAATTATTCAGGCTATGTGGTTTCTGCTTTTAAGACCAATAAGCTTTATTGATCCTTATTTGTTTTATAGTTTTTAGTGAGTTATATGTTGATATCATATGACTTTGATTGTCCATATAATACTCCATTTTATTATTTATGTGATCCTTTCTGCATTGTTGCATATTGTCTTCTTTTGTGGTGCTGTTTTACTGATATTTATGTGGAGAATCAAAATAATTATGTCATTTTTGGTGGCTGTGGGGAAAGGATTGGGGGCAGTTTAACAACTAGATAAATTACGTTATTTTTGGTGTGATCTAAATGTAAGTTTATAAATTAATTAGTAAGTTTATTCATATGCTTCTGGCGGTTTTTAAATTAATTTGTTTTTTTATTTTTCAGGTCAGAAATTTCTTGGAGAGATGCAAAATATGGTCAAAGAATTCAAGAACTTATTTTTATTTTTTATTTTTTAATGTATGTAATCACAGTTAATTTTTTTTTATTAATTTCTTTGTATATACTTTTAAACATTTAACTTTCATTTAAGAAATATATGATATTATTTCATTCAATATATGGTTGTGATTCGAAATATAGTATATAGTGTGTATTACATTATTCAAATGCGTGTGCAAAAATAATATTGATTATTCTTTAAATATGTCAATTTTTTTTTTATCACAAGTTTTATTAGTTATTAATCACACTTAAAAGGTGTGATCTAAATGTTTTTAATCACACTTAAAAAGTGTGATCTAAAGTCTTTAATCACACTTAAAAGGTGTGATCTAAATGTTTTTAACCACACTTAAAAAGTGTGATCTAAAGTCTTTAATCACACTTAAAAGGTGTGATCTAAATATTATTAATCACACTTAAAAGATGTGATGAAAGCATTTTTTAATGACACTTAAAAAGTGTGATTAAAAATGACCATTTTTAATCACACTCCTAAAGACCACATTTTAATAAAACTTAAAAGGTGTGATTAAAAAACATACATCACACCAAAAAAGTGTGATCTTTATCTATATTTGTAGTAGTGGAATCAAATGTCTAAATAATAGAACTTATTGAAATACAAAAATATGTTATGGGCTAATTAGGATATAAGTACTTGAAAGAGAATTTCTTAATAAATTCTCCTAGATCCTTTTGAGTTTCTTTTTGTTTTTGTTTTTTTTTATATTATTTTTGGTGGGTAAATTATACTGAACTCTCTTAAGGTTTATGATAATTACAGAGACCTCTTTTGAAGTTTTTGAAATGACATTGACCTCCCTTAATATTTGTTAATGATACAATGGTAACATATTATGACTTTTTATTATATTAACCTTAGAGTTGATCAAAGATATTTTTACTTAGGAGTGTTTTGGAAAGATGGAAATAAGCAGCTTTCTTGCTTATTTAAAGACTTTTTGGCTTTTTCGCAAAATGCATTTGAGAAGTGCTAAATTTCACACGCATGCGATATGCTAAAGCAGGAAAATACTCACATAGTACTCCGTGCCAAAACACAGAACCCGTTAGTAATGAATGCATGATCGAAGTCCATGTTTAAATGTCTAATGCAACACGTACAGGATGCATTTAGGGTAGGCTCGGCTAACCTAGACGTGGCATGTGAAATGCAGTCAATTGATGCACGTATTCAATTTGGAATTGAAGTTCAAATGCAGTTAGCAGGATGTACCGAGCTTAGTGCATGCAAGACAAATGTATGGATGCATGCATGCATTGCATAAGGTATGCTAATTTAAACGTGCTCTAATACTAACTATCAAAGCAGGTAAGTAAAAGGGAAGAAAGAAGTGGGGGTTGGAAGACATGCACACCACTCACACACACTTATTACAGATTTGCCCTCGCTCGGAGGGGCCAAATAAATATTACAAATAATTAACTACGCAAGCTAATTAAATATTACAAATTGCCTAATCAGTTAACAAACTAATTTAAACTAGGAAAAACAGTAAACCGCTTCGGGAGGAGAGCCAGATGCAGCGCATGCTCGGATCCTGCTCGGAAGTGTACCGCCATACATAGTCTGCCTTTGTTTTCCTTGATACACTTCTCTGGAGACTTCCAAAGTCTCAGGACTGCTTCTCTGGACATCGAGGAGTGCCACCGGCTGAATAGAATGCCCACCGGTAGTGAACTTTGATCAACGGCACAAAATGAATTCATCGGCTGGTGATTTACTGTCGGTCGGCAATATATACTGCCGGTCGGCAAAGAATGCCTGCAGAACCTGCAACTCACAGCAGCAGAGGACAGAACTTGCATGGCAATACAATTCAAGCATATATGCACCAATCATGTCCCTTATCATGGTAATGACTCAAAGGAACATGCTCCTCGGTTCTCGGGCCATCAATCACGCATTTCCATGCATGATGGTCCAAAGAATCAAGTGTGCAACTTTCATGTCAAATGAAATGCAAACCAAACAAACGAACCAAGGCCCAATTCCTATCACCAAGTCAAGGAATAAGGCATGCATGTAAGATGCAACGCAACCTAGGCATGCAAACTAAGAATGCAACATGGCATGGCAAGCCACTTATGCAAGCATACAAGCAAACATGAGGCAATGCAAACTTATGAAAAGGTGGACTTATACATGATTTAGGCAACTCTAAATAGGCCTAAAACAGTGGCCAAAGTGACCAAAATAAAGGACCAAATACACATACACACATGCACATGTTAGAGGGCCAATGCTTAGGCACAAAAGAGGAACTCTCAAGCACACTTGAAAAGGGATATCATGGACAATTAGCATGCAACATAAGCTCTGAAAACCATGCTAAGATGGTGTCAAACCAAGCAAACAAAATAGACCAAGCATGCAATGAATGGCCCAAGTACTTGAAGCAAGTCAAAGGGACTTGGACCATGGCTAAGTCAACCAAGCCTCACAAGGCTAAGAGGACTTAAAATAGGTTCAAGGCAGACCTAGACCATGCAAAGGGGATTCTTAGATGGCATCTAAGTGGCTCAAATTCAAAGGCATGCACAAATGCCAAAACATGGAGCATGCTACACAAGCTTTCAAAGCATTAAAGATGCGCCCGAGGCAAACATATAGGCATGCAAAGGGGACTGAAATGACATGATGGATGGTTCCAAATCACCAAATCAATGCAAAAATGTCATGCTATACGTTCACATACTTAAGGCCAACAAGCCGGAATGCAAAGCGACTATACTAATCATGCCAAATCCGACCCAAACAACTATGGACAGACCTAAAACATGGCAAAACATGCACAAAAGCCTCACAAGACTAAGCCTAAAACATGCTTGAACAAAGGCTAACAACCTAAGGCATATTAAGGCAATAACAAGGCATTACATGGTAGGTATGCTAAGCATGCATGGTGTACCAAAACCAACAAAAAATAGAGGCATATTATGACATAATAAGCACAAAAAGCAACTAAGGCATGGTCAACATGAAGCTTAGCTAGGTGCTCCCTCAAGAGGCCAAAAATGGTCATTTTCAAGGACAACAAGGAGAGGGGGTGGCCCTCTCCTTCTTGGGACCTCAAGGCACCATCCTCACCTCTGAAATCCCTCAAGATTTCAGTGGTGAGGAGGCCCAAACACCAAGGTCTCGGAGCTCACTCAAAATAGCACAAATTGGGGCCTTTCAAGGCCTAGGAGGGGCCAAACACCTCCAAACCACAAAACACTCTAAACAAACTATTTAGAGGGCCCAAAAACAGAACTTTTTATGTTATACACTAAGCACAAAAACAGTTCTAAGATAGGCAAAAAAAAGATACAAAAATGGGGTAAAAAGGGGTAAAATTCTTACCCTTGAAGACCTCTTCAACAATGATGCTCCAACAGCCCTCTTTGGCTTGAATCCAGCTCCAAAACACCAAAACCAGCCCCTTAGAACCTCAGTAGCCAAAGGAAGGTGAAACACTAGGTGTTTGTGTGCAATAGTATGGACTAAAACACAATTAAACACACACAAGGGTAAAAAGAGAGAGGTATAGAGATAGAATGGGTATGGATTCTAACCCTAGAACTCAAAACCCTAATATGGCTGTCTAAACTCTCTAAAAAGTCCAACCCTAAACAAGGGAGACAAGGGCTTCTCTTATAGAGCTCCTTGTCTTGTAAAGCTAACAAGACAAGCTTCTAAAGAGGGAGATCCCTCCATACACGTGTATGGAGGGGAGCCAAATGGAAGACAGCTGTGATAAAATATCTGCAAAAGCAGGTGCACAGTAGTCGGCCGGCCAAAGATGTCATTTTGGCAAAAAGGAGTGCCGACCGGCAATAAATAGTGCCGACCGGCAATATACATTGCCGGTGGCAGCAAAAACCAGCCGGTGGCCTTTGGCCATGGCCGGTGGTGTGTAGGGATGCCTCACAAGGCATTCCCTGCCCTTCCAAGGCAAAATGCAAGTGTTTGGTGCAAAACCAGACACTAAACGATCAAGGCAAAATGCAAGTGTTTGGTGCAAAACCAGACACTAAACGATCGAGTTCGGAGATCCCGAGGCAAGGCGCGTAGCCGAGACCTCCGGGAGCTCCAAACGAACACGAACATGGATAATCACCGAGTGTTCAAACGGTGACATCCAAGTCTTGAAGACGGTCAAAAATGGGGTGTCTACAGTTGCCCCTCTTTGACAGAACTCGAAAGTCATAACAATGACGGGAGTGAATGTCAAAGCCCAGAGACGACCCATTTTTGACAAGGCCGAAGACGTAAACAAAGCATACAAGCAGCAGACAAAGATATGTACCCGAGGGCAGGGGCAAAATGCAAGTCAATGGACGAAGCCGAGCATAACTTATGATCATGCAAAGAGAGCTGT